TGGTTTTTTATAACTTTTATTAGTCATTTTATAAACTAGGACTTGATTGTATTTTTTTCTGATTTTGATAGCTTTGGTTGCAATTATTGGTTTTAGGGGTATTTTAGGTAGTTTATATGGTTGAATAGTGAAAAGGGGTATTTTGGAAAGGCTATTGCCAAATTTTGGGTATTTTCAATAATTTCCCAAAGAGAGTTTTCACGCTGGACTGGATTTTTTGTAATATGAGTGCCCCCGTTGATTTTCGTTTTAAGGTTCCAGGTTATCACATGCATAATAGAAGTAATTTTTAGTCATGTTTGATCACCATTGAGAAAATTAAGTTTTGAGTACGTCTGTTTGCTTTACAATTTTCAAGTCGTTTTCTGTTTTCGATTTTCAAAATAGTAAAAATGCGTTCTTTTTCCTATTTTCGAAAACGCGTTTTTAAAAATAAGTTAAAAATTTACAAAGAAAATCAAATTTGTCATTTTGAGTGTTTTCAATTATAATGAAACCAAAATTTTCAAAACGTGTTTTCGATGTTTTCAAAACAATTTTTCAAAATACAAAAAAGAACACATTTTCAACAATCTCAAAATGAACACTCAAAACACAAAACTCAAATACAAAACTGAAACACAAAGAGAAAGAACGGTCCTTAAATTTTTGAAAAATATACGATAAAAAAGTAGAAAAAAAATTAGACTTNTTTTTGAAAAATATACGATAAAAAAGTAGAAAAAAAATTAGACTTACGTACAAAATATTTTATTATATAAATATGTGGTTTAAAATAGTACAAAAATTAAATAATTTTGAAATAATGATTGTCAAACATGGAATTAAATTTATGAAATAAATCTTTATTATCATGCTTTAATAATAATGAATTATGTTTAAACCTTGTTTGATCCCTATTTTTTTCAAAATACATTTTTTTCTCTTTTATTTTCAACCACACATTTTTCAATAAAATAATATTACATATAACCCAAAAAAAAATTTCTTCATTTTTTAACTACACATTCTCTATCAATTTATTATTCCAAAATACATTATACACAAATAATGAGGCTCAAACAGGTCCTATTTCACTTATCGCAACCTTGCAAGAGGGTCTCACCATCAACTAAACATATTGGATTAAAACTTAAGTCAAAATTAACAATTAATTTTAACTACGCATTTTATGGGATCCACAATATTTCAACCAATCATTCCATTAATTTTTATTAAAATCCACTAAAATCTAATTTTTATTTAAATCAAATAAGGTTCAGGATGAGTCAATAATTAAGTTTTAAAGTTTAATTAATGCATTAATCATAACTTCGTTGTTAATAAATCAAGCAAATTCAAATTTGTCTCGCATTCTTACGGATAACATGGACCATAGCAGATCAAGGGTGACATTGACTGAACTTTCTATCGAATATTCCATTGTGCATTCAAGTCGAGTCTATTATGACATACAAAACACAACTAAACTATTGCATGTTAGGTAGATAGTAGAAATTCTTTTAAACCAACATAAATATAAAACCACCAGTCTTTCACGATCTACATGGAAGTTGCATTGTACTTTAATTTAACGGGTTTTCAATCTAAACACGCATTGCGCAATGTAATATAGAAATCAAAAGATTGTTTCAATCCATAGTCTTCACACATCCAACCTCCGAGAACACACAAAAATTGTTCACATTTAAAGTAAGCTCATTTGTGTCATGCTACTGTTCCTTGATACCAACCTCCCTCCAAAATCATTTAGCCTCTCCTTTATATTCACCCAACTCAATGCAACCTTCCACTGAAATTTTGTGATAACAAGAACATATTTCAAATTAGCTATGTCGCAAATCAACAATACTTTGGTAACTAAGCAATATCCTTCTACTACTAGACGCACACCAACTCCGGGGAAGGCCACCATCCTTGCCATTGGAAAGGCCCTACCGAGACAACTTGTTCCTCAGGACCGCTTGGTGGAGGGTTATATTCGAGATACTAAATGCGATGATTTGGCTATTAAAGAGAAACTCGAGCGCCTGTGTAAGACAAATTAAATGTATTAATGCATGGTGTTATTGTTTATATGGAACCAGGTTTCGATGTCAATTTGCATGTAGAAATAAAACTTGAAATTCAGGAAAAGAACAACTTGGTATGAATTACTTTTTAATTACAGACTTGAAACAAGTGTACCATTCGACGAACACAAAATTTTCAAACAATTTTATAAGAAATTGTTCATTTGATATTTTTTGCATTATTTTTATATTGCATTTTGCAGGCAAAACTACTACTGTGAAAACCAGGTATACAGTCATGTCGAAAGAAATTTTAGAAGAATACCCTGAACTTGCTACAGAAGGCTCTCCAACAATCAAACAAAGACTCGAAATAGCAAATCCTGCTGTAGTCGAGATGGCAAAGGAAGCAAGCCTTGTTTGCCTAAAAGAATGGGGAAGGCCTACTAAAGATATTACCCACATCGTCTATGTTTCCTCAAGCGAGATACGGTTACCTGGCGGTGATCTTTACCTTGCTAGTGAACTTGGCCTCAGAAATGACGTGGGACGTGTAATGCTATACTTCTTAGGCTGCTATGGAGGGGTCACGGGCCTTAGGGTCGCCAAGGATATTGCTGAAAACAATCCAGGAAGTCGAGTTTTACTAACAACCTCGGAAACAACCATTCTCGGTTTTAGGCCTCCAAGCAAAGATCGCCCTTACGACCTAGTTGGGGCTGCCCTTTTCGGGGACGGTGCAGCAGCTGTCATTATTGGTACTGATCCAATACTTGGCAAAGAGATGCCATTTATTGAACTAAATTATGCAATTCAGCAATTCTTACCTGGAACTCATGATGTAATTGATGGTCGCCTTTCTGAAGAGGGAATAAATTTCAAGCTAGGTAGGGACCTGCCTCAGAAGATTGAAGACAACATTGAAGAATTCTGCAAAAAACTAATGGCGAAAGCTGGTTTGAAGGAATATAATGATCTGTTTTGGGCAGTGCATCCTGGAGGGCCGGCTATCCTAAACCGATTGGAAAGTATCCTTAATCTGAAAGACCGGAAACTGGAATGCAGCAGAAAGGCACTGGTGGATTTTGGGAATGTTAGCAGCAATACTATATTTTATGTGATGGAATATATGAGGGAGGAGTTGAAGAAAGAAAATGGAGAAGAATGGGGACTGGCTTTAGCATTTGGACCTGGCATAACATTTGAAGGCATCCTCATTCGAAGCCTGTAATGGCATTTGGAGAGTCCTTTGTTTCATTTTATTTCATACCAAGGCAATCTTATATGAAGAATGAATTGAAGTCAGTAATAACAGAATGAAAGACGAGAAAATACGTTTGAACCTACAGATTTTTTTAAGTTTTATTTATGTCTAATGTCTTGAACAATTAATGACAACAAATTTAAGAATTTTATCTGTTCTTGATGCGTCTTTCCAGTATTTTACGTTTATTTTTTTATCAAATTCCTACCCAAGCACAATTTTAAATGGGATGGCAAGACTGCAAGAAATTGTCCAATCTTTAACTTGCAGCCTCTGGTATGGATTGTTAATAATTTCAAATTCATATGGTCCAACATTTCCCTCCCCACGTCTCTTAACTACCGGGGCATTAACCGCTTCAAATAACTTCTTTGATGGGAAGAAGTTTATAAAAGGGCAGTAGTGTTATTGGTCCCTAGGCTTGAGTTCTCTATCACGAAAATACACCATCTTAGAGAGTTCTTGAAGGCTTAGAAGCACCAAACACAATCAGAAATTCTGCAGTAGAAACATCAATGGCTAGAGGTTAGTTCCTGTTCTTCATTTTTCCGCATTTGATCAATATGTTATTCACTTACAGATGATAGATCAAAATATAAAAGTCTTACAGTTGGTATCAGAGCCCTTGTGTGCCTCTGCCTTGATGATTTTGTAAATTTGGGTATTTTTTGCTTGAAGTTTGACAAACAATTTCAAAACCAAAATTTAGTTGATGAAATATAAGGTTAGAAATTATTAGGAAATGGGATTTCTAACATTTTTGGGATTTGAAACGTATTTTTTACCATTCAGAAGGCTAAGAAACCGTTGGGTTTCTGTTTAGACTGCAACCAGGTCAAGATGACCCAGATAGAGGTCGAAGAAAACAACCTGATTAAGGGTGTGTTTGAGCCACATTATTTTGGAAGAATATATTCTGGAATAGTAGATTGATGTGAAATTTGTGGTTAAAAAAGAAGGAAAAGTTATTGATGTGATATAAAATATTATTTTATTGAAGATTGTGTGGTTGAAAATGAGTAGAAGAATGATAATGAAAATTTTAATGTGTACCATGTGCTAAAAGAAAAAAAAGGCAAAGAAATCTGAATTCAATTCAGACCAGCCGTCATCTTTGACTTTATTCCAACATATAAATGTTTTATGGGAAGATTACATATTCAAGAGTATAAGTTTAGTCTATTTCAAAAATAAGAATACAAGTTTAAAGTTACCAAACTCAGATTTTTTAAATTTTTTTTAAATAAAATCAGATTTTTTAAATTTTTTTTAAAATTTTTATTTATGAAATAATAAATTATTAAATTAATTTATTATTAAATATTTAATTATAATATAATATAATTAACACATCCCATCTTCACCACCCCTACCGCTCCGGCGACCGTTTCGATCACCGCCCTACTCCGGCGAACTTTCCGACGACCGTTCCGGGTACTACTCCGATTCCGGCGACCGTTCCGACAATTTTCCCGGCGACTGCTCCGCTATATTTTTTTGTACGGTTAACATTTTTTTTTACGGTCACAACCCAGGTCACAAGTCACAGTTCAGGTCACAAGTCACAAGTCACAAGTCAAGAGTCACAACCCATGTCACAAGTCACAAATCAAGTCACAGGCCAGATCACAAGTCACAACGCATGATTGTTTGTTTATAATGATTGATAACATGATAATTTTTATCTATTAATCACATATTTTCAAATTTATTAGTCACATGTTAATTTTTAATCACAGTCCCACTACCGATTCCGATCATCATCCGCCACCACAACTTGCCTCAAAAAATCACACCCCACAAACTAAACAGTGGCGGTCGTCCTCGCCACTAACACAGGACCACCACAGAAACGCACCACCAACAGCCACACCACCACCGCCACTTCCCAGCAACAAAATCAAAACCAACACTACACCCTCCCCAACACACAAAGCCACTGTCAAACACCACCA